TAAGAACAAATTCCTATTTTCCCAGTCCCTCTACAACTTTGTATTTCATTACTTTTACTGTTTTATTGCACTAGTGAGTACCTCCAGAAAAATGCTGAAAATCAATGGTAACGTCTGGAGATTATTTATCTCACTGCAGCCTAAATGGAAACATGTTAGGTGTTTCACCATTAGGTAAGATGCTATTAATTTCTGGTATCCATAAACAAGTTAGCAAAATGCACCAAGCTTTCTAGAACTTTAATCATCAAGGATAAAATACTCTTTTTCAGATTTTTTTTCTGCACCAATCTATTTATATGGTTTTCTCCTCTTGTTTATTCACATAATGTATTTTAAATACTTACCAAAAATGGATTCATCATAAACTAAATTCAAACATTAATATGGCTCACTTGGCCTTCAGGATTTGGACTGTATCTTTTAAGACCATATCCTATCTCTTACTCATTATTTAAGAAATATGCTAGGCTTTCTCAGTTACTACTGCCTTTTTGTCTTTTGACAATGGAATGTCTTTTTTCTTCAACTTCTTGATGAATTCCCAGTCCTTTTCCAAGACTCAGCAAATTAAATTTCCTTCTATGTGTCTTTCTTCTTCCCCAAAACTCTCCCATCCTTCTTATACACACACAGCATTGGGCACATTTCATAATGCAGTTGGCACCTTCTCACACCACCATCATAGCTCTTCTCAATAGATTGTAATTTACTCTATTCATTGTTATTCCCTGGTAATAGCCTAGTTTAACTTTCAGAGGTAGATGGGCACTTGGATTATTTCCAATTTGTGACTACTATCAGGTTGTTGGGTTCATAGCCACATATGAACATTGTGAGGATGTATTTTTCATTTATCTTCAGTATACATCTAGGAATGGAATTGCTAGGTTAGAGTCTATGATAATTAGCTTTAATAGATAATACCAAACATTTTTCCAAAGTGACAGTACCAATTTATACTCTATCAGCAAGTTATCAGAGTTTTAGTTGTTCCATGAGTTCACCAACACTTGGTATTAGCAGCTTTTAAATTTTAATTATAGTTATTCTGGGCAGCACTCTTTCATTTTGTTTTAATTTCTATGTAGGCTAATGATGCTAAACATTTTTTCATGCTTATGGGCCACCTGGATTTCCCTTTTCTTAAATTTGAAATGTTCTTTGGCAATTTTTTAAAACTAAGTAGTCTTTTTATTATTAATTTTAAAGAGGTTTTTTTTTTTTTTTTTTTGACAGGCAGAGTGGATAGTGAGAGAGAGAGAGAGAGAGAAAGGTCTTCCTTTTGCCGTTGGTTCACCCTCCAATGACCACCACAGCTGGCACGCTGTGGCCGGCGCACCGCGCTGATCCGAAGCCAGGAGCCAGGTGCTTCTCCTAGTCTCCCATGGGGTGCAGGGCCCAAGCACTTGGGCCATCCTTCACTGCCTTCCCAGGCCACAGCAGAGAGCTGGCCTGGAAGAGGGGCAACCGGGACAGAATCCGGCGCCCCGACCGGGACTAGAACCCAGTGTGCTGGCGCCGCTAAGTGGAGGATTAGCCTAGTGAGCCGCGGCGCCGGCCAAGAGTTCTTGATATATTCTGGATACAGTTTTTATCATAAATACATATACACTTCAATATATCAAAAATCAAGTAATCATTTTCTGGTGTGCTTTTTTTTTAACTCTCTTAAAGTGGTTTTGAGTAAACAAAAGTTAAAAACTTAATGAAGTCTAAATTCCTAACCTTTTCTTTATAAAAGGTTATAATGGCTTTTCTTTATAAAAGGTTATAATTCTTTATAATGGGGTTGGCACCGTGGTACAGTGGGTTAAGTCACTGTTTGCTTGCTGGCATTCCTTATTCAGACTGCCACTTCAAGCCCCAGCTTCTCTGCTTCCAATCCATCTTCCTGCTAATACACCTAGGGATGGCTGCAGATGGCACAAGTATTTGGGCTCTGGGCACCCATGAGGGAGAACAGGATGGAGTTCTTAGCTGCTGGCTTCAACCTGGCTGTTGTGGCCACTCAGGGAGTGAACCAGTGGATGGAAGACAGCTCTCCCTCTCTCCTCTGCCTTTCTAATAAATCAATCTTAGAAAAAGAATAAAAATAAAAATCACTATAGGGGCCAGTGCCGTGGTATAGCAGATAAAGCTGACGTCTTTGATGCCAACATTCCATATGGGCACCAGTTCATGTCCCAGCTGTGCCAGTTCTAATCCAGCTCCCTGCAAATGGCCCAGGAAAAGAGCAGAAGATGGCCCAAGTGTTTGGGCCCATGCCACCCACATGGGGACATTTGGAAGTTCTTGGCTCCTGGCTTTGGCCTGACCCAGTGCTGGCCATTGCTGCCATATGAGGAGTGAGCCACAGATTAAAGATCTCTGTCTCTCTCTACAACTCTTTCAAAACTAAATAAATAAATCTTTAAAAAAGCACTGCAATAACCAAAAATTTTGTTTTCTGTTTATTAGTAAACATCCTAGATCATCAAATATTTAATCTGTATCTTAATATTTGAAGCTTTCATAAGCCCTTTTTGTTTTTTTAAGACTTATTTATTATTAGAAAGGCAGAGAGAGAGAGATCTTCTATATGCTGGTTCACTCCCCAAATGGCCACAACAGCTGGGGTTGGGCCAAGCAGAAACCAGGAGCTAGGAGCTTCTTCTGGGTCCCCTATGTGGGTTCAGGGACCCAAGAACTTGGGCCATCTTCCATTGCTTTCCCAGGCACATCTGCAAGGAGCTGGATCAGAAGTGGAGCAGTGGGACTTAAACAGGGGCACAAATGGGATACCGGCACTGCAGGCAGAGGCTTAACCCTCTATGCCCCAGTGTTGGCACCAAAAAGCTTTATTATTATATACTTAATTTCCAACATATTTTCAGCTATAAAAACAAAGAATATTTCCCTAATGTTTCACTAAATTCCTTGGGTCTGTTTTTATTTACTTACTTAGTTAAATTAACTTTCTATTAAAAATGATACAATTGGGGCCGGTGCTCTGGCGCAGCGGGTTAACACCCTGGCCTGAAGCGCCCGCATCCCATATGGGCGCTGGTTCTAGTCCCAGCTGCTCCACTTCCAATCCAGCTCGCTGCTGTGGCCTGGGAAAGCAGTAGAAGATGGCCCAAGTCCTTGAGCCCCTGCACCCACATGGGAGACCTGGAAAAAGCTCCTGGCTTCGGATCGGCGCAGCTCCAGCCATTGTGGCCAATTAGGGAATGAACCATTGGATGGAAGACCTCTCTCATCCCCCTCTGCCTCTCCTCTCTCTGTGTAACTCTGAATTTCAAATAAATACATCTTTTAAAAAAATGATATATTTAAAGCATGAGGTGATTTATTTTATCAAATACTTCATATTGAAAGAAATATGAATGTTTAAAAAGCAAAAACATGGGCACAAGAGCAGCCTAGCTTATCTTATACCACCCACAAAGCCTTGCCTAGTTTCAATATTCACTAAATAAAACAAGGAGACAGATTAGGTGATCGCAAATTTTTTCCAGTAAAATAAAGGCAATGGGACTGTTTTTTTTTTTTTTTAGTTTTTTCTTTTTTAGATTTATTTATTTATTTATTTGAAAAGCAGAGTTACAGAGAGGCAGAGGCAGAGGCAGAGAGAGAGAGAGAGAGAGAGGTCTTCCACCCTCTGGTTCACTCCCCAAATGGCCCCAGTGGCCAGCACTGGTCCAATCAGAAGCCAGGAGCTTCTTCTGGGTCTCCCACATGGGTATAGGGGCCCAAGGCCCTGGGCCATCTTCTACTGCTTTCCCAGGCTGTAGCAGAGAGCTGAATCAGAGTTGGAGCAGCCAAGACTCAAACCGGTGCCCATATGGGATGCCGGCACTGCAGGCAGCAGCTTTTATCTGCTATTCCACAGAATTGGCACCTACAATGACTACTTAAAATTTAGAATGCTTATCAAATTTAACACTCCTCTGATTAGCTTTCTGCTAATATGTCTGGGAAAGCAGTGGAAGATGGCCCAATCACTGCCACCCACTTGGGAGACACAGACGGAATTCCAGGCGCATGGCTTCAGCTTGGCCCAGCTCTGACCACTGCAGCCATTTGGGAAGTGACTCAGTGGATGGAGGATTTCTTTCTCTGTCTCTGCCCTTCTCTCTGTCACTCTGCCTTTCAAATAAGTAAAATAAATATTCTTTAAAAACCATCTATCACAGTACATTAAAAGGTAATAATTTGGAATTCCCACACAGTTTTTAATAGAGGAAAATCTTGGGGCTGGCACTGTGGCGCAGCGGGTTAATGCCCTGGCCTGAAACACTGGCATCCCATTTAGGTGCGGGTTCCAGTCCCGGCTGCTCTTCTTTCAATCCAGCTCTCTGCTGTGGCCTGGGATAGCAGTGGAAGATGGCCCAAGTCCTTGAGCCCCTGCACCTGCATGGGAGACCCAGAGGAAGCTCCTGGCTCCTGGCTTTGGATCGGCGCAGCTTCGGCTGCTGTGGCCAATTGGGGAGTGAACCATAGGATGGAAGACCTCTCTCTCTCTGCCTCTCCTCTCTCTCTGTGTAATTCTGACTTTCAAATAAATAAATTAAAAAAAAATAAAGGAAAATCTTGAAAATATTTATAAGTAATTAATCTTAGGAGTTATACACTCATATTTATTATACTTATAACTTTATATCTCACTAGTACTCATATATGAGTTTATAATATAAAATATTCATAATTACTATAATTACTAAAATTATATTAAAGCATTAGAAAACTGCCCTCCAGTAATTCAAGTATTTCCATTAGTATCCAAATTTATACTTTTATTTATAAAATGAACTCATTATGAAACATAACTCTTTGTGTGTATATATATATATATTCAGGATAAAATACATATAGCAAAGTTTTCCGATACAATAAATTATTAACATTAATAACAGTAATTAATACAAACAAGCTTTAAAGTCACATCACAATAGTATACTGATTTACTAGCACTAATATTACCTTGTAGGTATCAGAATGATGCTCAGAATACATACCTCTTGTGCAAGATCTTGTGCATTGGAGATAAGAGGAAATGGAGGACTGGCTTTGTTCATGTGTACTGTAACAGCGTTGTGTATCTTAAATGCATTCTGGAAATCTCTATTTTGTACGAGTTGTAAAAGTAGTGAAATATCCTCCTGGCTCTGAGAATCTACCAAAGTGTGTTGGATATGCTTAAGTGAAGAAAACAAGTCTTCCACTTCTAGTAGGAGGAAAAGGTATCTAAAATTAATTTGCTTTGCCTTAATTCAACATGTGTTTTAAGATAAAATTTCTTAAAACAGTAACAATTAAAGTTTTCAGAAATAAACTTAAATATATCTCAGTATCAAGCCATGTCACTTTACATTTTTGAATAAGACTCTTTAAAATTTATACAACAGAATAACTTACATTCTTGAAAGTTTTAATTATAAAACTAATCATCATAAAAATAAACGAGGAAAACAGCAATAAAGAAATGTAAAACTATCACCAGCGCCACGGCTCACTAGGCTAATCCTCCGCCTTGCGGCGCCGGCACACCGGGTTCTAGTCCCGGTCGGGGCGCCGGATTCTGTCCTGGTTGCCCCTCTTCCAGGCCAGCTCTCTGCTGTGGCCCGGGAGTGCAGTGGAGGATGGCCCAGGTGCTTGGGCCCTGCACCCCAAGGGAGACCAGGAGAAGCACCTGGCTCCTGGCTTCGGATCAGCGCGGTGCGCCGGCCACAGTGCGCCAGCCGTGGCGGCCATTGGAGGGTGAACCAATGGCAAAGGAAGACCTTTCTCTCTGTCTCTCTCACTGTCCACTCTGTCAAAAAATAAAAATAAATAAATAAAATAAAAAAATAAAACTACCAATAATTCCATCACCTAGAAGCAATTTTTTTCCCTTAACATCAGGATAGTTCCTTTTTCCATGTAACTATACATTGTATTTATTTCCCCCACATCACTTAACAGACTTTTAAAACATATATAATGGCTCCATAATATTCTATTACACAGCTAAACCATACTTATGGTAATGAGAACACTAAATTTGAACATTTAAGTTGCTTCCAAGTTTTTGCTTCTGTAAATAATATTTCACTGCATAAAAATCATTGCTGCATATAAATGTCTGATATTCTGATGTTTTCTTAGAATAACTCCCAGAAACAGAACTTCTAAACAAGATTCTGATATTGAAATAAGGGAGTTTTTACTAATTTACATCCTATTAACATATTTTCACCAATATTATTTTAAAAAACCTTCAATTTCTTTAATAGGGAGGTTTAGGTTTACTCATTTTACAAGGGACTTCTTTGTGGTCTATAACACTTGAAATGAACATGTTCATTTCCTAAAATTGTATTGAAAGTTGTAAGTATGTGTATACAGATTGTACCTGTTATTGTGTACATATAGCACATACATTCCCAAATGATTAAGAACAACTGGGATTTTCTTCCCTGTTCCTCAACAGGGAGAGGAGGGGTGTGAGGGTGTGTGTGTATGAGTTTTATATGTTAGTTATATTTGTGGTCATTTTAAAAAAATCAATTAAGGCTTTTTAAAATTTATTTGATGGGGCTGGAGTTGTGGCTTATCAAATAAAGCAGCTGAGTTCTTCCTGGCTGCTCCCCTCCCGATCCAGCTTCCTGAGAGTGGCCTGGGAAAGCTGCAGATTAGCCCAAGTGCTCGGGCTTCCTGCAGGCATGTATGTGGGAGACCAGGAAGAAGCTCCTGGCTACTAACTTCAGTCTGGCCCAGCCCCAACTGTAGTAGCCATCTGGAGAGTGGATCAACCAGAGGATGGAAATGTCTCTTTCTCCCTGTGTCTCTCTCCCTTTCTCTCTGTAACTTTTTCAAATAAATGAATAAATCTGTAAAAAGATATATCTGAGAGGCAGAGAGACAGAGAGTATGAGATACCATCCACTGAGCTGGTTTCCCAAATGTCCAAGGCTATAAACAGGAACTAAATCCAGGTCTTCCATATGGGTGGTCAGAACCCATCAGTAGAATGCAGTAGCAGGAAGCTAGAGTCAGGAGCCAGACCTAGAAATCAAACCTAGGCACTTGGACGTGGATTAATGTCTTAACTGGCAAATTTACCTCTAGCCAAACACTCGACCATGTGGACATTCTTATTGTAGGGCATTTTTATCACAGAAGTTTTCAACTCTTCATGCATTAAGAATGAACCACCTTTTCTTGTGTGATCTCTTTTAATCTCTTCTTCTAGCCTCTTTTTCATTTTAACTGTTTAATCCATATGAAATTTATTTTGGCAAAGATTTGAGGTGAAATTTTAACTTTTTAAAAATTCTGGTACCACTTATTGAATAATCCATCTTTTTTCAACTGACTTATGATCTACCAAGTTCATATATCAGAGTCTGTTTCTATTTCACTGGTTCTGCAGATTCTAGGGCTTAATTATGTCGTTTATCTGCTTTAGAACAAGTGGTATAACCTTTTTGCCTAACACAGCAACATGGAATGTATACTAACTAGTTTTTTGAGGGGCTTACACTTATCACCATGTAGCCTTAGTAGGAATTTCCTCCAATAATGTTTGTGCATGCTCACATATATACAGTCTAGACCAGTATTTTAATTTGCCCTCCAAATATTACTTTCATAATACTGTTGCATTTTTCTTCTGATATTTTAACCAAGTATTTATATTGAATTTTGTTTTGAGAGGCAAAAGAGAAGGTGACAGAGCTCCTATTCACTGGTTCATTCTTCAAATGCCTTCAAAGGCCAGAACTGAGCCAGAGCTTGGGTCAGGACTGAAACTGGGAGCAGGAAACTCGATCTAGGTCTCCTAGGTGGGTGGCAGGGACCCAATTACTTGAACCATCACTGCTGTCTCCCAAAGTCTGGATCAGCAGGAGGGTGGAGCTGTGTATCAAATTCAGGAATTACATTATGGAACATGGACATCTTACCCACTAGGCCAAATGCCCACCTTGTCTTTAAATATTTTCTCAGAGTATCCTACTTCATAACTGAAATTACAACACTAAGCTAAGGTAGTACACTGGAAAAGCTTAGAAATAGAAATCAAAGCTGCAATTTTTGTGAACACAGAGGCTAAAAAGTATCTTTGATAATGGGCAACCAACCAGTGCAGCAAAACTGCTTAACTATGATTTAAACTTTCAGATAAATTTCTTAGCTGTTTGTCACGACCAATTTAGTGTGGAAACTTTCCATATTCTTAGGAAGAAAAGCTGCCTAAAGTTCTGCTATCCTTCAGGCTCAAATGTTTCCATTAAAATTATCTAATGAATAAGATGAACAGATTAATTTATCAGGCACTCAAAGTTCTCAAAACTTTACTAAATACATGTACCTGAACAAGCAGATGTGATCAAAACAACATGCAATTGGAAAAAATGAACACTCGAGAAAATACAAAATAGCAAACCCTCTGATGAAATTAGCAAGTATTTAGAAACACCAATTTACAGAATATTAAATTAATTATTGGCAACATTAACTTAAGGATTCTTGTTTTGATACAGTCTCATTCATGTTTTGGTTTATATAAAAATTAATTTTAAAGGTCAGTGTATTTAGTTGTAGGTTTACAAAAGCTTTGTTTCTAAATGGTATAACTTTAAAAGAATTCACAAATCTATATTATTTACCAATGTTAATTTCCTACACAAAGAAATGTTCTGTTTTAACAAGAATCCACCTAAATTCTTTAAGATTCGGTAAATCCCAAAAGAAATGGCAAAACAATCCAATCAGATATAACTAAATCAGTCCTGCAGGAAACGCACAATCTTCTGTAATAAAGGTGAAGACACACAGACAAGAGAGAGAAAAAAAAGAGTACAAAAAGGAGAGATTCCTTTCCTCAATCCCATCTACAGACAACAGACAAGGATGAAGAAATACATGCACAGAGAAAACAAAGAAATGGACAACCATAGGTCTAGCAAAGATTGACCTAAGTGCTAGACGGGGAGTGGACACAACAGAACTGAAGTAGAGAGATACCCAGAGCAAGGCAGGATGGAAATACTTTACAGAGGGGAAGTCAGAGGTAGGCAAAGCAAATCTGCCTTTGGTAATCAATTCTAATCACATTCCTCCAAATGTTTTATAGCTAGTTTAAAATCCTTGCCCTGTCATTTGATTTTCAGCAGAAAGTGTTCTAAGTTTCCATCATCCTCTCTACCATTTCACAACACTTAGATCTTGACTACCTATAATAAACGAGAGGATATATGATCTTAAAATATGAAGCATTGGGGCTGGCACCGTGGCACAGCAGGTAAAGCCACTGACTGTAGTGCATTTATCCCATATGGGTCCATATTGAGTCCCAGCTGCTCCACTTTGATCCAGATTTCTGCTATGGCCTGAGAAAACAGTAGAAGATGACCCAAGGACTTGGTCCCCTACACCTGTGTAGGAGACCCGGAAGAAGCTCCTGGCTTCAGATCGGCTCAGTTCTGGCCTTTGTGGCCATCTGGGGAGTGAACCAGATGCCTCTGTCTCTCTGTAACTCTGCCTTCTAAATAAATAAATAAATTTTTAAAGAAAAAAAAAAAAAAACCTCAACAACAAAGGTACTATCAGGTGAGGCTTATTCCACAGCCTGGACTAGCTGCTGTTTTGAGACACAATTAATCAGAACAAGAGAAACATATACATAAGTCCATAAATCCACCTCCCTGAACTCTGTCCTCTTCTGGTAAACCTCACCTGGTAGTCTAAAATGTAAAAAAAAACAAAAAAACAAAAACAAACAAACAAACAAAAAAAAACCACACCTCAAAATAGGTGATAGAAAACAAAATCACCATAAGTTACTCTATCTACAAACCTGCAAGATTCTGGGCAGCCATATGGGAACATATTTTGGCTACAAGAGTAAACACTAAAATTACCTAAGGAAGCTAAGGAATCTTCATCTCCAGAGATGTTTCAAAGCAATGGAGACACCCACTTACATTGGATTAGCTTTATTTTTACTTATTGGTCACATTTACCCCCCATAAAAACAGTTTCTAGAGATCTATTCCAGCATTAAGATTCTTCCATTTCATTGTATAAATAATACCAGTTTTTTTTTTATTATTATTATTTTTGACAGGCAGAGTGGACAGTGAAAGAGAGAGAGACAGAGAGAAAGGTCTTCCTTTGCCGTTGGTTCACCCTCCAATGGCTGCCGCGGCCGGCACACCGCGATGATCCAAAGGCAGGAGCCAG